CTGTTAGAAACCACATCCCCTCAAGTTTTGCAGGTCTGTCCCCGGTGTGAGTTGCTTGCTTTCAGGGTGTTTGCTTCTGCTGCCATTGATTGTTGAAAGACGGCATGAGAGCTGCATTTTCAATGTTCTCTTTGGATATGATAGCAAAACCATAGGAAAGCATCATGCATCATCCATTGGCTGACCCTCCAATTAATAATCTTTGCCCTTAGCAGCTGGTGTCAGTCAGATCACTTTGGAGATTTGGAAGGCAAGAGAAGGCTGTGGGAGGCAGACTGAAAACAGAGAACATCTATCTCTTTTTAAAAAAAAGAATTGTCCATGGTCTCACAGTGAGCTTTAACAATTAAATAAAACAAGACAAAACATTGTCATGATTGTCTAAAGCAATTCCCATGGCACTGTTCATAAAACACCATATGGAATTCTGTATGTATTGGAAAATATCCTTATAATTATGTGAACAGCTTACAAAATAAGCTGGAGAATGGAGACTAGAACCTAGCCAGAACTGCAGGAACCTGGTCTCATTTATTGATTGACAGTAGCAATCACCTCTGTAGCAAGTTGACTATGGACATACTAAAATGACAGACAGTTGCTTTGTGCCACTAACTTAGGAGCTCCTTGAATGTTAAAGAGTTTACTCTCTTCTATCATCTAAACCCCATTAGATAATACTTTGGCGAAGTCCTAGCTTCTGAAAATTTGTCCATTTCATTCTTCATTCTTTCCAGGATTCCTCCATCATGACTCCCTAATTTCTTATGCCAAGTCACCCACCTCCGCCTGTTTAGTTTGAAATTTAGATATTAGAGCAGTGTGCGTGGGTGTGTGTACACGTCATGTGTACATTTCAGAAGGGCCAGAAAATGAACTCAGCTGTCCAACTAGCACAGTCTGTAAACACTGAAATGAAATTCAGTCCGGGGATGAAGATAATGGGGTTTTTATGGGAATCTTAAGTGAGTATGACTTGCTAATGCCTGTTGTCTTCAAAGTAAAAAGAAGTTTCAGTTTGTAATTGTACCTAAGAATATCACAGAATAACAGAATTGTAGTGATTGGAAAAGTCCTTTAAGATCATCGAGTCCTTCCATGAACCTAACACTACCAATTCCACCTCTAAACCATGTCCCTAAGCACCTTGTCTACCCGTCTTTTAAATCCCCCCAGGGAAGGTCACTCCACCACCTCCCTGGGCAGCCTGTTCCAATGCTTGACAACCCTTTTGGTGAAGAAGTTTTTTCCTCATATCCAACCTAAACCTCCCCTCACACAACTTGAGACTGTTTCCTCTTGTTCTATCACTTGTTACCTGGGAGAAGAGACTGACCCCCACCTCTCAAAATAATAGGAGCAAAAATAAATAGGACCATGCTCAGTGTTGCACACACAACTCAGACTTGTTGCTCACAAGCCCAAGTTGCAAGCCTTGTTTGTTCTCATTAACTCTGGGGTTCACAAGAACAAAGCAGGTTCATTTAACGTTTCCTTTATGGAAAGACTTTTTGAGCTGTTTGGGAGCAGCTTTGAGAGAAAGATGTGCTGCATGAATCTTCATCGCTTCTCAGAATTTATTCTCAGTAGAGAAGAACTTTTGGGTGTGTGCAGAGACCTTAGTTGCCCTAAGTCACACCAGGGGAGTTAGTGTCCTTAACTGCTAAAAAATCGTAAGTGGCACCAGCCACTGAAGGAGAAGAGTTTCTTTTCCTCTTCACTTCATCTTGTCTCTATCAGGCAGGTTATTCCAGGGCAATGTGAACCAGTGTAAAATGAGAACATGTTAGAAATGTTGCTTTTATCTGTATTAGAAAAACAAGAAGCGTCAGAGAAAGCAATGAGGTAGGATGAAGGGATTTTTAAGGACCTACTCTTTTATTAATAGTATAAGGTGGTCAGGACACAATTAGTTACTGAGGTGCTTCAGTGAAGAAGGTACAATGGGTTTCATTCACCTGGTTTTTCATTCCTTTTGTGTTGACCACAACATGGTATGATGCAGTTAGGGCACGCTGGCAAAGAAGAGCCTGGGAAATCAAAGGCTGAGGAAATAGTGATATATGAAGTGGTATATGTCCATATCACTATATTTTGACAAAATAAAATACCAGATCTGTAGATGAACCACAAAAAAACACGTATTTTTTTGGCATGCGTTAGTGTTGGTCACTGTGGATAGGATCTGGCCAATTACAGGTGTCTCTGATGACAATATCTACATCTGAACTAGTCAGAGGAGGAAAGGAAGCACCACTGGAGTAAAGTTCATTAAATGGATTCACCTTAAGAGTCAGGAAAGTTTGGTTACCTAAACACAGGTATGTTTCTGGTGTCACTCTGAACTTCTGGATCCCATTATACATAGTCAGCATAGTGGATGAAAGTCATTCAGTTTAACCTATGGTACATGTCTAATTAATGTACTAAGTCTTGCCTTTCTTGTCCTAGACATCACAAGTCTGAACCACACCATAAAGGCAAATTATTTCCAGTAACAAAGATTACCCTCAAGCTGATGTGGTGCATTGTTACACTTTGGAACAGCTGCCATGCCTCTTGCTACATTGCTTTTATATGTTGCTTCTATTTTTTTTTTTTATTATTATTATTTTGCACAGATAAATATACTCAGAAAATTGTATGGATATTTTACTCCTTTTCAAAGACTCAATTTAGTCCTTTAAAGCAAAAAGCTTGAAAAAAAGCTTTGAAAAAAAAAAGTTTTTCATATACTATAGGTGTTGTCATAACACTGGGAGTCTGTCCTGCATCAAGGACTGACATAGGTATTCCCTTTGACGTCAGAGGTCATGTGTATGTAACCGCTACAGCTTGCAGACCTGTCTCAGCACAACAGTGTGAGGGTAAGGCTTCCTGAAACATCTGAACTCTGTGCTGATGCTGAATAGCCTGGCCCTACTCCTTCTCCCAGCTTTCAGGCAGTAGAAAACAATTCACTTGTTTTTTTTTCTCTATTGCATTATTTTTTGTGCCATCTTTTGAGCTTAACCAACTCATTGACAAGTGCCAGAACCAGCAGAAGAAGAGGAGGCTTAGACTTGTAGCTAGGATGAGAGGATTAGAGGAAAAGGACTGACCCTTTCAGCAGCAGAAGCTGTTAAATCTCCTTTCCTGTGTCATTATCTTGTTTCACAGTACTCACACTCTGTATGTTCTTCGTATGTGTAAGAACGTCTATGTGCATCAACAAATAACTTTTCTTTTTTTAAACTTCTGCATATAACTCTTGAAGACGAGAAGGATATAAACACTGTAAAAAAAAACATAGAGAAAAAATACATAAAGCAAAATCATTTTCATTTTCAGCAGTGAAATTAAAACATCACAAAATTCTGAAGATTGTATACATACGGGCTAATATTATTTTTTCATTTACAGGATTTGTGTTCAAACCTGCTCTTGAGAGTTAGTATACTTAAATATCAGTATAAATGCACAAGGCCTGAGTTACTATTTCTTTATTCTAGCAAGCATGGATGCTATTTGATTGGAATAAAGATGGCAGTTCAAAAGTGTTGACTACATGCTGTGATTGTATTTCCGTATACCATAAAGTTAATGTCTGCTTAACTATCGAGCTTAAATGTCAGAAATCTGACAGCAATTCCTTGTACCTTCCTTGCTGTGTGGACCTACCTGATTGTGAGATGTCTGATGCCAAGTCTTAAAACACAACTGCTTGAAACTGTTTTCATTATTGAAAAACACTGTTAACCCTTTATGAATGATTAAATTACCCCGTGTCCTTTAAAATGTCCTTCAGAAACCTCTTGTTGTTCGGAGAACACCCATCCAGAAACAGGCTTCCTTTCATTTGTGATTAGAAACTAATCTGCACATCTCTGCTGCAGCTGTTTCTCTTCACTTGCGCTGATAGGAAGTTTATAAATATCTTTGCTACCACAAAATCTCGTGGTATGTCTATGAAAGCGCAGTCATTTTTCACATGGCTGAGATTTCCACCCCATTCCATGATAGGTGTACCACCAGTGCCCCCCTGTATACCTGAATCTGGTTTTAATCTGATATGCATCTCCCTCAAAAAAAAAAAAAAGAAGTGAAATAATAATGTGGAATAGACCATGGTATTCCATCAACTTTCCAAGCCCCACTCACATTTACGCAATCTTCACTCACACTTTAGTCAAGAAAATAAAATAGTTTTCATTCACTTTTTGGTAGATAATGTTTACCAGCTTGTGTTCTTCTTTTATGAAAGATAATTTTTAGCCCCAGTATTCTGAACTGTCCTCAAAATGAAAGTGCTAGATCACATTTTGCTTACCTGTTAGCTTTCCTTGAAAGATGAATAGCCAGTGTTTTTGCCAAAGTCAGGGAATTTAAGATGATGACTAGAAACAGAAGAAAATGTGGAATAGTCCTATTCCTGTTCCACCAAGATACAATATTAGCCCCAGCACTTTGGGCTGCTTGTATATTCTTGCAGATCAAACCAGAAGACAAACAGTTAGAAACAATCCTTTGACAGGCAGACAGGATGAACCGAGAGTCTGTGTTCGATAAACTTCATCGAGGAACATTTCTGTCATAGCTCAGCTCTGTTTGGCACAAATAAATGCCCCAAGTTCACTTACCCAAGTCAACAAAATTGGAACAAAGATATGTGTCCTGCCATGAAAACAGCGTCTGTTGCTTCTCTCCGAGAAATTCAAAGAGGGAAAATGGTTGGAAAAAATAAGCAGGAAGAAAAGACATTTGGAAGTTTTCAGGTACTGAGTGAGGATGAAGCCTGGTGGGTGCTGAGCAGCTGCGATTTAATGACAGTATTTTCACTACTGTGTTAAGGTTGAGCCGTCTGTTGGTGTAAATGGATGAGCACCATTTAGTGGAGCTCAGACTAATGCTTTCAGCAGAGATTGCTCTGAGGTTCCAGCTCTCCTACCATCCAGAGCCCTCCCAAACTCAGAGGTGTTTTCTTGCCTAAAGAATTATCTGAATTCTCCTTTCTTTTCCAGAATCAGTGGATAATTGTCCCAGTAATTGCTATGGGAATGGAGACTGTGTGTCTGGGACTTGCCATTGCTTCCTTGGCTTTCTGGGGCCTGACTGTGGCAGAGGTAGGAATTTAAACTTGATTAATTCTTCCTCTCTCTCTTTCAGTTAACATTTTTTCTTCTGGAAATGATATTCACGCCCATGCCTTTTGCAAAGTACACCTCAAAGTACATCCCCAGCTTGGGGATGCTGCAGTAGGATGGAAACGGGTTGGATCTGTGAATTTGTTTATTACTTGTCATGATTGCTGTGACTTTACCAACAACACAACCCCCCAGCTGCATATGGACAGGCAAAATGTCACACAGGGACTCTAGGAGCAACTTTAGTAATCATGACATAAAAATGTTGCATTATTGTTCAGCTGAGAGCTCTGTTATTGGGTAACATGAAGCTATAATGATTCTATCTTTTAAGACACTGATTATAGAGAAATTAAGTACTTTTTTCATTGCTACAGGCCTTGCAAGTCTGCCTGAGCTCTGCATGATCACTGACAGCCTGGCTGTGGGGAGTGGGGCAGGGTTAGAGTAAGGCCAGCAAGAACTGGATACTCTGGCCAAAAGTGGAAACATTGGGACGACTGGGAAGGAGGTTTACCCCAGCAAACAATATAATACATTTTTCTGCTCAAGTAAAAAGTATTTTTAATAAATGGTTTTGGAAAGATTTTCATTTGACCTGAAATTTTTAGGTTATTTAAACATTTTAAAAAAACCCCAAATGAAGTACTTTTAGTAAGAACACGTTTCAGACTGAGAAATCAAAACGTTGCATGTGGGAAATGCCAGAATGCCGTGCATCAACCTTTTCAAGATTTTCTTTGACTGAAACTGTCCAACAAACTAAGTGCAGATTTTTAAATTTCAGGAGGGAAGCAATGTAAAAAGTTAGTGCCCACACAAGGAGCTTTACTAAGGCAACAGGTCAGGACTTCACCCCAACCCATTTCTTCTTTGGAAAGCAGGCTGGCTCCTTCCCAAGAGAGAGAGGTAAACTCTGTCCAACCCCATGTCCTCTCCTCCTCCAGCTGAGCTTGGGTCACATCACTGCAGCCCAGCCAAGAGATAAGGACGGCGGGGAGCTGTCTGCTGAGGCAGTGTGGTCCAGGCTAAAACCCCAGAGGAGTTTCAGAGTTCACAGCCCAGCAAGATGGATATGGCAATCTGCATCCCTGAGAGCTCTTATGTCAAACTTCTTGCTGACTCAGGTTACACTTGGTTTGCATTTCCTTACACTTGGTTTGCATTTCCAAGCTCCTTTTCAGATCCATAGGGCTAGAGACAAAAGGAGATTTTTTTTCCCATCTCCCGCAGCATATTCCTACTCACATATCCTAACTTTAGGTAGGGGCAGAAGTTCAGGGTTTGTTCCCTCAAAGGCTCCCTGCAGAGTTAGAAGGAGAAGCTATTTCACTGTGATATTTAAACTTTTGTTCTGAATCCAGTTTCAGAGGAGCTTACCTCTCTTCATGGGTTATATACCCGGATTTCTCAGGCACTTCAGTTGAGCCACCTATCTCCCATTTCACAAGAGAGCTTACTCTGGCTGATACGAGCAGCTTTAATTCAAGTCTGGTTTTTGGTTCAGAATCATCTAGGTTCAGATCACAAATTACTCTCTGCCTTTAGGAGGACAGATTAATACCTGGAGTGTCAAAATACTGTTTGTGTATGCATTTCCACCCAGTGGGCTTGTTAAACGGATCATCTTGCCATAAGCATGAGATAGAAAGGCCCCAGAGTTGGTTTCCTCTTGGTTTTCAGGGGAATCTAAGATGCTGGTTTTGACCTACAAATCCCTCAGAGGGCAGCAAGTGTGGCATGTGTAAGGCTGTACAGTATCCATCTGCAGCTGAATATCGGTCCCTGTACTGAGCAGTAATCCTTAAATAAGCAAGTCGCTGCCCACATGAAGATTTCTAGGTCACAGTTTTCCTGGGTGTTCCTTTGTTTCAATTCAGCCTTGTAATTCACCGTCCAAATGGGTGGGAAACTGTAGAGCAGAAAGACCTTCTGGTTTTAATAATGGTTAATTATTAATGTATTATTAACCAATTATTTTAAACCAAGTAAATGAGTACAAATTACCAGAGGTGTATTTATGGGCCTTTTGAAGGCCAGCTTGAACATGGGAGATGATGGTGTTTTAAAGTTCTGTGCAAAGTAAACAAACAAATGAATGATCTTATTCTGTGATGCTAAACTTCACAAGAAAAGTGATGTGCATTTAGGCTGTGGCTACCATAACCACACTAGAGAAATACTACAATTTCAGCATCTTAGGTGTTGTTTGTTGGAATCTGAATGCTCAAACAATAATTACATATCTTTATAAATGGAAAAGAGTTGCCCAAATAGCAGTGGAAAAAATCCAGGAACCTCTTTTGTCTTTATTCATTACGCTATGCTACAAAGGAGGACTTGTTCTTGCCATCACCTTGATGTCTGGAGCAGCATTTTCCAGGTTCTTCTGAAGGTGTTCTCCATAAAGGGCTCTGTAGAGTTCTGGTCTTATTGCAGATGGCCAGTAATTTATCTGATCTTGTACTGAGGGATCAGCTGTCTTGTCAGAAAGCATGTAAGTCTTTCTCAGCAACCTCTCTGCTTAAAGGCAATTATTCTTCTTCTTGAAAAGAGCTGCAGAATATCCTCTTCCTGTGCCTTGAAAGAACAGGATCCATTACTGAACATTTGAAATTTGAGACAGGGGGGTGGAAAATTCCATCAGCCTAGCTGAGAAGTGAAATTACAGAGTGAGTTTGCTGTGAGCCACATACACAACCCAGTCTATCTTAAACAATTTACGTCTCGTGTTGTATAGGTAGGTATCTCCTTGCAAATGATGCACTTGAAACACCTCACTGCAATGTGCTTCCTTTAAAGTGAACAGAGGGCTCCTTAGTAATAACAGTTGCCAAATTCCTTTCTTTTTCTAAACCTCTTTTTATCTTGGTCAGGGAAATATAGTTCACTGCATATCAAACCAGCTTAACAGTCCGAGCTGGCAATGCTTTGTGTGGTATTGAAGTTGCTGTAATTCTGTAACACTCAAAATGACTTGCCTATAAGGACACGTGGGAACAACACAGGATGGACACTGTGTGATGACTATCTGACAAGTTAGGAAGAGAAGGAGAGGAATGTTGCCCTCAACCATGATAATACCTCTTCCTGCTTATGCTCAGAGTCAGGAACGAAGGAAAAGAGGTACATTGTATTCATCACACGACTAATGCAGTTGAATTAAACATCAGACTGGAATATTCCTTTCACATTTGTCCTGCATAAAAATGTTCATAAATTGCCTTTCTGAGGTGCAGATGAGAAGCCCAGCTGCTCTCACCTAAGGATGATGTGCAACAGTGAACAAGAGAAGTCTGTGATGAATATATGTCCTTGCAGCTGAGTTTCAGCAAAATGAAATTGAAAAGAACAGGGCTTAAGGAAGAAGAAATTTCAAGGGATAGTGAAGAGGGGAAGGCTATAGAATCAGCAGCTTCCTTGGAAAAATCAGAACAGAGGACAAAAGTAGCATAAGGCGGCAGGTGTGGAGAATGGAAAAGGAACAAGGCACCATCATTGTTTAGGATTAGACTTGATGATCTTAAGGGTCTTTTCCAACCTCAATGATTCTCTAAATCTATGAAATGATTCTATGATCAGAGAGGAGCCGAAGGAATCTTGTAGAGCAGCAATTACCAAATCTTTGATCATGGAGGCTAGAGTCTGGTCCCTGATGCCCTGTCCTTCCTTGGGGAACCTGCTCTATATACCTCAGTTCATCCCATCTCACTCCGCCTGACATTTTCCAAATTTAGCTCACAAAAAAGCTTGATCCTGGGATCTGTCATGCCACAGCTTGAGTTTTTCATCTTCCTCTTCTCCCCTTTATCACAGGGAAGAAATCCTGTAGCTGGTTGGCCTTGAGAATAGACCGACTTTGCCAGAAACAAGGAGGATTAAAAAATCCTTTATAAACTGACACAAAGATCAGCGGACAGATTTGGAGAACTTTTATTATATTTATTTTATTGTGTGACCAATCATTACAGGGAGCTTGGAAAGACCAGTGGCCAGTTTTGCATTTTGTCTGGTGTTCAACCGAGGTGATAACCAAAAAAAAGAGTTCTGGAAATTCAGTTGCTGGCATGACATGAGCTAAATCAGGGAAATAATCTCAACGTGGCATTCTGGACCCTGAGCAAAGCAACTGAAACCCGTAAAGCTGAAAATAACAACAGAAAAACAGGGGAGTGATTTGTGTGCAGCTGAGGTCCACAGCAGAGGCAGTGTCAAGGAAAGTATGAAGCCTGGCAGCCGGTCAGGGATGGTGATAAGCAATCTAAGGTCAGTGGTGCTGTTGAAAGAAGACACCAGTACATTGAAAAGTCAGAATACAAGAAAATTCTGAATTTAGCTAGTGAAAAAAAAGGTCTCAGAGACGCAAAGCAAGGAGAGATTCTCACTCAAGAGCACTGTTTGTTTGTTTTAAACATTCACAGGAGAATACAACTAACAGCTGGGTGCCATCCATGTAAAAGAATTTATTTTGGCAAAGAAAAGAACAACATACCCCACTGCAGACTGTGGATGAAGAATATAAATCCCATGCTGGACTCTTGTGCTCTGTTTTGAAGTGAGAGCTGTGTTCACTTGTGTTTTAATATGATTTTTGTTATTTTTTTTCTCCAGCATCCTGCCCAGTGCTGTGCAGTGGAAATGGGCAGTACATGAAGGGGAGGTGCTTATGCCATAGCGGTTGGAAAGGAGCAGAATGTGATGTCCCAACCAACCAGTGCATTGATGTCTCCTGCAACAACCATGGCACGTGCATCATGGGGACCTGTATCTGCAACCCAGGGTACAAAGGCGAGAGCTGCGAAGAAGGTATTTGCAAGATCCATTTAATTAGCCTTTTGCTTTGATTGCCGTTATATAATTACATGGATGGAGGCAATTCAGAGTGGGACTGGCACTTAAACAAAACAGTAATGGGCACCTTAGAAATACAATAGACGGATGCAGCATAAAAATGATATGTTGTAACAACTTGTCGTTAGCTATCATATTTGTTCAATAATTGGATGAAAAGCCATCAAATGCTTGAGACAGACAAATCTAGTTGAAAGACCAGAACATCTAATCATATGTTCAAATGTTCTTATTAAAGCATCGTTTCCATTTACACATCTAAACGTATAATTACTTTTACAGTGCTTTCCTCTCTGCTATGCTATGCCAAGCGATTTCAGTTGCTTACATACACAAAATAGTGGCGTGTGAGAGAAAGTCACTGATTCTTGTCAGCTTTAAAAGCTTAGAAAAACTCAGGACTTGAATTAAATTCTGCTTCAAAATCAGATATTATTTTAATGGCTCTTCCATAGCTTTTTTCTCACATTAGCCCCCAAACATTTTTCATTTACATTTAGATTTGTGGCTCAGAAATATAGCACTTATCTTTAATCTTTTTGTGTAGGAAGTCACCTGCCACCATAAACCTTTATCTTCCCGAGTCTATGACTGCTTCTTATTGCTAAATGATAAAGTGGACAGTTTTGTAAGTGTACAAATCATTCGGGCAGTTATAAAAACACATCCAAAAGTCCCTGATTTACAGAGTAAGGTTCAGCACTTTTGAAAATTATTCTCAAAACTCTATGCAGATGGCCTGAAAAATAATTATGTTTAAATTATGCTCCCACAGATACATATATAAGGGCTCTGCACAGCCTGATCTTTTAAGACAGCCATTTGATACACGTATAAGAATTACAATGACTTGAATTAATTTATGGTTGTCTTCTTGTATGCAGGATAAAGATTTATCTGAAATGGCTTTATTTTACAGACAAAGAAAATAGGCTGAATTGGATTCAGACATCCAAATGGCATCTAATCTAGCAGTTCTTTTGATGCGTTAAATGTATTGGAGTGGGACGTCTCTGATGTAACATGGCTTCAGTGTCAGTAAATGTTAGAGATGAAGATGGTATCAGCTCCTAGAACGATAAGGCATCTCTTGAGAAAGCTTCATTTTGCCTTGAGAAAGCACAATTCCATGAAGCCATGGGGTATGCAAAACCCAAAGATTGTGACTACTGAAGTATCTTTAAAGCATCTCTGTAGACCTCATATTTACTAGATCATATCTTTGCTGGATAAACAGAAATGAAAAGATTCTGATTTTGCCTCCAGCTAGACGTGTTTAATATGTGTAAATCAGAGTGAGATTTGCCCTTTTTCTAACAGGAACCTTTTTTTTCCCTGGTCACGTTTAAAGCAGAAAAGCCAGACACTACTCAGTTATGTTATCACTGTAATGGGGAACAGTGTCAGTCCCACTAGGTGAAAACTTGAAAAAGAGTGAAGAACAAAGAGAACATGAGTTTTCTTGTGAGCTGTTTAGTATTTTTCCAAGTGTGCATTTGTTTTGCATATTCAAGGCATAATTTGTATTGTGTTGGGGGTGGTGGGAAGTAACTCAGAAATATGCCATGTGGGAAATCTTCAGGACATTTATATAAATATATATTTAGATCTAGTAAAAAAGTTGATTTATATGATTTTGAAAATTGCTTTTACTTTTTAATTTCTCTTCTAAGAAGGACCATCTGGTATTGATTACTTTTTATTATTTCTCAGTTCTCATAGCTTCACTGCTTAGTCCATGTTTATAATGGGTTTTCATTCCAAAGTTTCTTTGGTCTTTTCTTTTTTTCCCCCCCTAGAAGTTCAGTAATGTTTATAAAACATCAGCCAACAATCTTACATGAGTTTTTCTTTTTCTCCTTCTTTAGTTTATTAGCCCATATTTTATAAGGCATGGGCAAAGCCAGCGAGAGATTAAAGGGAGGGCAACAAATTTAAGCAGTGAAAAATGAGAAGTTACTCTTTGGGTACCGAATAAGCCTAATAACTTGTGTGACCGATGAAGCATGAAGCATATTGGGGAAGAGTGTAGAAGAGGCACTAGCCTTGCTTGCTGCATGATTTATCTCCCTGGCAAAGGTTCTGCAGAAAGCTGAACTATAAATGGGGCATTTTCCAACCAAGAATTAGACCATTTGGGACATTTTCCAAACAACAACACAGATATATGCAAAACACGATTTTTTGGGTTGGTTTTCTTTTTCTTTTTTTTGTAGCTATACTAGATTTTGTCTGATCTGCCCTCCTGCCCTGCTCCCCATCTCCGCTTCTCCCAGAGCTGAGCAGCTAAATTTGTCAAGCAGAACTCTTCTAAAATTATACCATTGTACTCCAAATCCACTAAGCAATTGATTAAGAAGAAAGC